TATTGTGCAGAATTACCGGTTCGGAACTCGCCCAAACCGTCATTTCAAGCCTGGCTTCACTTTTTTTTTCATTCAATTTTTTTCTTCTCTTCCTCTCATCGACGTTTCGGTCCGAAAACACACGTTCCCACCCCGCGATTTCGGAAGCATTTCAGCCGGTCGTTATGCCGCTAATGAGTTGCAACGGAGCGAGTTCAAAGGCCCGGGAGACTGTCCACTAATTGCTTGGCAACCCTTTTCACGGAGACAGGTAAATTGCAGGTTCCTTTGATGATTCCCAAATTGACCGGCGAAAAACCCCTCAAGAACGGGTCCATTAACCGCCTTCCGAAATTATTTTCAATTACACGGCCTACAAAACGTGCCAGCTCAAAGCATGAAGTCCACATATCTCGGTGTGGCAACCCTGTTGCCCACCCTGCTCCCCGCACTGTTGCCCCCTCGGAAAGCCATGTGGCTCCCAGAAACAACTTCTTCCCGAGACGACCTCTCGACGGAAAAAAAAAAAAACCTTGTGGGCGTGATGAAATTAACTGCGCCATCTCGAAGAGGGAAAAAAAGGCCCCGCGGGCACCAAAGATTTTGTTTGTCCCGATTTCATAATGATGGTAGGGAGGACCTCAAGCACCTCAAGCACCCCCCCCCCTCGAAAAAAAATAAAATGGGCCCTTCCTGAAAGAGGGACGGAGTATTGAATTGAAGTGTTTGTCCCAGCACCTGCACGCCGTTTTCCCCGAAAAACCCCGTCTTTGTGCGCCTCGTTTCGGGTCGCCGCGAAAAAAAAAACATATATATAAATTAAGTTAAAAATAAACAAGACTCACCAGAATCGATCGCAGCTATGACCAAAATATATGACGCCTGCGTCTCCCGATCGAGACTCCTCAGCAGGTACACGTCCCCCGTGGAATCGTTGACGGCGAACACGCTCTTGTCCCCCTCCTTCAACCGGTAACTGAGGGTGTTGTGCGGCGGGGAGTCCGCGTCGTGGGCCGACACCCTCGCCACCACCTGTGACGACGCCCTGGGATGACCCCGACCTCGATCCTCCATGACCCAGGCCACGTACGGGGAGTCCAGGAACACCGGCGGGTTGTCGTTCACGTCCTTCACCGTGATGCTCACCGTGCACGAGTCGTAGCGGACCTGGCAGACGACAGAGATACCTGTGCTAACCCTTTGGGTAATTTTAACCTCCTCTGACCTCGGTCGGCACGTACACGAGTCAAACCCAACGGGTTTTACTTTTTCTGAGAAGGGTGAAAGTTCTCAAGAGAGTTCTTTACGGCAAAGCACGTTCACTGGAACGTGCCCGCCTCGCTGACTTTAGCACCGACATTTAACAAAATCCCTCGAATCCCTTCCTCCAACTTCAACGTGTAATTCTCATCCTCTAAAAGTTTTTTGCAAGGTACATGGAAACGACACGGAAAGGACCTCACCTCCTGCCCCGAGTCCTCCGCCTGCACCGTGAGCAAGTACTGGTGCCGCCGCTCGTAGTTGAGCGTCTTCGCGACCCGGATGATCCCCGTGTCCTCCGCGATCGTGAAGTCCCGGCCGGGGTCCCCCGACGCCAGGGCGTAGCGGATCTTCCCGTTCAGCCCCGCGTCCACGTCCGTCGCCGACACCTGGACCGAGAAACCGCCGCGTTTACGACCGATCGACACGGACTGCAGAAAGGGTAAGCGTCTACCGACGTTTCGCTGCTCCCGAACGAAAAACAAAAAAAAGCAAAAAGCACTACGGTGGAAAATTAGCTGGCAAACCGATCTAGACTTCAATTACCTCCCAATTACCTTCATTACTCGTCAATTACTCGTACAGAAAAACAGTAATTTCCCTCTGCCAAATTTGCGGTAAAGGAGCAGGACAACACCGAACCCCCCCCACGACATACACGACATCAGACCGACCCCGACGACAAAACCCCTCCTCACCTGAAGGACCGACAGTCCGATCGTCGCATTCTCCGGGATCGTCGCACTGTAGTGCCTCGGATCGAACATCGGCGCATTGTCGTTCTCGTCCAAGACGCTCACGACGAAGGTCATCGTGGACGACCTCGGCGGATATCCCCGATCCCTCGCCGTCACCCTCAGCGCATACCTGCTCACCGTCTCCCGATCCAACCCCGCCCCGACCCTCAAGAGCCCATCCACCGGCCCCAACACGAACGGCTGCTGCTCCGACCCCTGCCCCCCCTGCCCCCCCTGGTCCAGCGAGTACTCCACGTACGAGTTCCGTCCCTCGTCCGCGTCCACCGCCTTCACCGCCAGCACCACCGTGTTCACGGCCGTGTTCTCCATCACGGTCGCGGTCGACGGGGACGTCCACTCCGGGGTCATGTCGTTCACGTCCTTCAGGATGATCGTCACCTGTGCCCCCAGACGCCTTCATTAGCATTTCTTTTCACGGCTTCGTTTCGTACGCCACCGGCAATTAATTTCATACCACTGCCAATTAATATTGAATATCTAATATCTCTTTTTATTCCTTTGTTGCACTCCATCAGTCTTCTTTTTTTTTTTTTTTTTTTTTTTTTTTTATT